GAAAGGATATGACGAAGGTCAGGTCTGTGGGAGCGAAAATCGCGAATATTCCCATGAAGGATAGTTATACTTTCGTTGATTTAGTGTTATAGATTGCAGTACGTGTTGGATATTTTGAGGGGGAAGCAGCTAGAGGGTGGGATAAGGACTGAGAGGTTTGAGATGGGAGATATGTGGGAGTTGGTGTTCTATCAGGAGGGGTATTAGGAGATGGAGGGTCTGAGGAAGGGGATACTTGTGACATAAGGGATTCACGTGTGTATCCAGGAGGGAGTGGAAGGGATAGAGGGGATGGTGGGAGGGTTAATGTGGGCGGGGTTGGGGTCGGGGTCGGGGGGAGATGGGCTGTGTTGGGAGGGGGTAGGAGGATAGGGTGTAGGGGGGATATCGTTAGGAGGAGGATGGATATCAGCAGTTACTTGGAGTGTGGAAGGAGCAGGGGTTGTAGGTTGAGTGTCAGTTTCCATTAAGTAATCTTGAATATTTTCAATAGTTTCTTCTAAGGAGTTGGTTGGGGAGTTTTGGGGGATAAAGGATTTCTTGTGAGGGGGAGAAGAGAGGACTGGTGTCTCAAGAGTAGGGGCAAAGGATGGTGGAGGTGATTGTGTGGTAGGGGAAGAGGGGGTGGAACGTTTGTTCTGTCTGTTACGGGGAGTGCGAGGAGGGAGAGGGGAAGGTGTTGGGGTTGTAGTGGTGATTGGAGTATCTGTAGTAGAGATTGGAGTTTCTGGATTTAGGATGGCAAAAGAGTTTGACTGGGGAAGGTAGGTGGGGTTAGTGGGGGGGGGTAGATGTAGGAGGGGTGGGTTTAGGGGAAGTGTTAGAATGAGCAGTATTACTGGAGCAAGGAGTAAGAGAGAATCCACGTCGACGTGCTTCCTGTCTGGCTTCACGCAGTGTGAGTCCGAGTTTGAATCTGAGAGTTGCTACCTCAGATTCAAATTTGTAGGTGGGACAGCCCCTATAAAATACATTATGGGGGCCGCCACAGTTGGCACATGTGTGCGTGATTGTGCAGAGCAGTTAGATCGGGTATGGCCAGGTTGGGCACATAATGGGCATCTGGCTGTGGAACGGCAGTGTTTGGCTGGGTGTCCTAGACGCCAACAATTTTGGCACTGACGTGGAGGAGGTTGGTATGGACGAACAGGGAGGGATTCTCCTCCTATGTAGACGTTAAAGGGAAGGTCATGTCTACGGAAGGTAATTTTGGCTATGTTAGTGGGTTTCTTTCGATGACCTCTGGGGGGGATGGAGTAGCATTGTACTGATGTTGCATCGTAGTCTGTGAGACAGGCAAGTAGATCTTCTCCACAATCTGACCAATCTTTGTCATAGATTGGGCAATTTGCTGGTGAGATTGAGACTGTTCCGGTGCAAGTATTGAGGGTTGGATGGGGTTCTGCTAGGATGGGGTTACCATATAGGTCAGTTAGTTTTGTTAATGCTATGGCTTGGTTTTCGGATGTTACTGTTACAAGACGGGAGCGGTCGGGTCGGCTACGGAAAGAGACTTTACCTACTTGTTTTTGGAGGCATTGTTGGAAGAGAAGGGTGTTGTCAGAGTTGGGAGCTGTGGGAGGGATCACGAAAAATCGGTCCCATTTGGCTGCACTGAAGAGAGTATTCAAGATTGTTTTAGAGATAGGGGTGGTAGAAGGACGAGGGCGTGACGAAGATGGAGTAGTGTTGATGGAGGTAGTGTTATGGAGAGGTGGGCTATAAGGCTGTAAGGTATTAATAAGGGAGGATGGGGTGGTTGATGTTGGAGGTTGTGGGGGTAGAGGTGTTGAAGTTGGGCATGCTGTGAGAGTGGAAATGTTCCTTGAGGGTTGATTGTTGGCTACTGTACTAGTAGGCATTGGTGAAGGGGTAGTTATTGCAGTGTTCGGAGCCGTGGTCAAAGGAGAGCCTGGGGTCAGGGAATCGGGTGGGTTTACTTCTTTGGGGCTATTTGATAAAGGGGCAAGCCTCATTGCCCCTAACAGTGGGGATATATTTTCATTACTGGCCATGGTAAGCCTGGTTATGTTGGGGATAAAAACAGTCCACCCCTCAGGGTCCCCTTGAGGGGTAAGGGCTAGATACTAAATCAGGGGAATACCGTGCCCATGGCTCCCTCAGGACGTTCAGGACTGGCACAAAGTCAGCCTTTCATCCTTTCAGCACGGCTCTCACACCTTAGGAGGTGGATAGCAGAAGGGTTTGGTGAAGGGACAGAAACAAAAGTGGGAAGGGAAAAAAAGACCATGCATAATTAGTTGAGTCGAGGGCTGAGTCCCAAGGTTGGGGAGTTCCCCATCATTGGGTCCCAGTCTCCGCCTCCTAAGCCCCCCCACGACAACAACGGGCAAGGGATTGGGGGGGTAGAGAATGGTTAATGGTTAATGGTTAAAAGCAAGATAAATGTGCTAGACATCTAAGGTCATGTAGCACTATAGTTAATGTTAGTGAAGGGTGGTTGAGTTAGTGATTAGTTGTCTAAGCTGGGCAAAGGAATTAGTGAGTGAAAGGGTTAAGGTCGGGTGTTATATTAGATAAAGGGTATGCATAAGAAAGGTTTCTTGAAGGCATACAATAGATGGGTTATAAGAGGAAAGGATATGATGGTCAGGTCTGTGGGAGCGGAAACCGCGAATATTCCAATGAAGGATAGTTATACTTTCGTTGATTTAGTGATATAGATTGTAGTACGTGTTGGAGAATTTGAAGGGGAAGTAGCTAGAGGGTGGGATAAGGACTGAGAGGTTTGAGATGGGAGAGGTGTGGGAGTTGGTGTTCTATCAGGAGGGGTATTAGGAGATGGAGGGTCTGAGGAAGGGGATACTTGTGACATAAGGGATTCACGTGTGTATCCAGGAGGGAGTGGAAGGGATAGAGGGGATGGTGGGAGAGTTAATGTGGGCAGGGTTGGGGTCAGGGGGGAATAGGCTGTGTTGGGAGGGGGTAGGAGGGTAGGGTGTAGGGGGGATATCGTTAGGAGGAGGATGGATATCAGCAATTACTTGGAGTGTGGAAGGAGCAGGAGTTGTAGGTTGAGTGTCGGTTTTCATTAAGTAATCTTGAATATTTTCAATAGTTTCTTCTGTGGAGTTGGTTGGGGAGTTTTGGGGGATAAAGGATTTCTTGTGAGGGGGGGAAGAGAGGACTGGTGTCTCAAGAGTACGGGCAAAGGATGGTGGGGGTGATTGTGTGGTAGGGGAAGAGGGGGTGGAACGTTTGTTCTGTCTGTTACGGGGAGTGCGAGGAGGGAGAGGGGAAGGTGTTGGGGTTGTAGTGGTGATTGGAGTATCTGTAGTAGAGATTGGAGTTTCTGGATTTAGGATGGCAAAAGAGTTTGACTGGGGAAGGTAGGTGGGGTTAGTGGGGGGGTTAGATGTAGGAGGGGTGGGTTTAGGAGAAGTGTTAGGATGAGCAGTATTACTGGAGTAAGGAGTAAGAGAGAATCCACGTCGACGTGCTTCCTTCTGGCTTCACGCAGTGTGAGTCCGAGTTTGAATCTGAGAGTGCTACCTCAGATTCAAATTTGTAGGTGGGACAGCCCCTATAAAAACATTATGGGGGCCGCCACAGTTGGCACATGTGCGTGATTGTGCAGAGCAGTTAGATCGGGTATGGCCAGGTGGCACATAATGGGCATCTGGCTGTGGAACGGCAGTGTTTGGCTGGGTGTCCTGACGCCAACAATTTTGGCACTGACGTGGAGGAGGTTGGTATGGACGAACAGGGAGGGATTCTCCTCCTATGTAGACGTTAAAGGGAAGGTCATGTCTACGGAAGGTAATTTTGGCTATGTTAGTGGGTTTCTTTCGATGACCTCTGGGGGGGATGGAATAGCATTGTACTGATGTTGCATCGTAGTCTGTGAGACAGGCATCTCCACATCTGACCATATTGGGCAGCTGGGGAGATTGAGACTGTTCGGTGCAAGTATTGAGGGTTGGATGGGGTTCTGCTAGGATGGGGTTACCATATAGGTCAGTTAGTTTTGTTAGTGCTATGGCTTGGTTTTCGGATGTTACTGTTACAAGACGGGAGCGGTCGGGTCGGCTACGGAAAGAGACTTTACCTACTTGTTTTTGGAGGCATTGTTGGAAGAGAAGGGTGTTGTTAGAGTAGGGAGCTGTGAGGGATCACGAAAAATCGGTCCCATTGGCTCCACTGAAGAGAGTATTCAAGATTGTTTTAGAGATAGGGGTGGTAGAAGGGCGAGGGCGTGACGAAGATGGAGTAGTGTTGATGGAGGTAGTGTTATGGAGAGGTGGGCTATAAGGCTGTAAGGTATTAATAAGGGAGGATGGGGTGGTTGATGTTGGAGGTTGTGGGGGTAGAGGTGTTGAAGTTGGGCATGCTGGGAGAGTGGAAATGTCCCTTGAGGGTTGATTGTTGGCTACTGTACTAGTAGGCATTGGTGAAGGGGTAGTTATTGCAGTGTTTGGAGCCGTGGTCAAAGGAGAGCCTGGGGTCGGGGAATCGGGTGGGTTTACTTCGTTGGGGCTATTTGATAAAGGGGCAAGCCTCATTGCCCCTAACAGTGGTGATATATTTTCATTACTGGCCATGGGAAGCCTGGATTATGTTGGGGATAAAAGCAGTCCACCCCTCAGGGTCCCCTTGAGGGGTAAGGGCTAGATAACTAAATCAGGGGAATACCGTGCCCATGGCTCCCTCAGGCCGTTCAGGACTGGCACAAAGTCAGCCTTTCATCCTTTCAGCACGGCTCTCACACCTTAGGAGGTGGATAGCAGAAGGGTTTGGTGAAGGGACAGAAACAAAAGTGGGAAGGGAAAAAAAGACCATGCATAATTAGTTGAGTCGAGGGCTGAGTCCCAAGGTTGGGGAGTTCCCCATCATTGGGTCCCAGTCTCCGCCTCCTAAGCCCCCCCACGACAACAACGGGCAAGGGATTGGGGGGGGGGGGGGTAGAGAGGGATGAAAACTATGGTCAGTGCCCCAAGGAAAGATTGAAGATATAGCAGACGGATCAAAATAAAACATACTTTTTAATTATTCAGATTTATTTTTTTATTTTCTTGTAATAAGCCTTTTTTCATATAATGAAAACAATTTGTTTATTCAGTTTACTGTGGAAATACTGTATACAGATAGCAATTAGTAACTGAGAGATACTAAAAAAAATATTTTGCTATGTATACTATTGAAACTAGTTTCACCGCTATTATCCTTCACTATGTGATGCATATTCACTGGGACTAATATTTTTATCCCTTATGAACAATTAAAGTAGCTGGGGCTAATATGTATGACTATAAACCATAAAATTATAATCTAACTATGGTAATTCTAAGTATACAAGTCAAGTATATAAGGTTTAAAATTTGTACACATACATTCCCAAAGTTACCCTGCAAATAATAAAACTACTCTAAACATTACATACATAAATGTATGCGTGTTTACATTACCATTTAAATCATACTTTCCTTTTGTGTCAAATGATTAGGCAACCATAGTTTATATAAACAAAAGATAAGGTAACAATATGTAAGGAAGCTATAACCTAAACTTTCTTGATTGCAAAAATATAATGTTTCTATATTTTTAACTATATTAGCACCTAAATAAAACCAAGAAAGACTCCATTTACACTCAACCAAAACATGAATACGAATTTCAACTTCTGTATTAAAAAACTAGTTAAGTTGTTACCATAACTAATGCTAATGCAGTAATTACTTATGAAGGTTAATATATATTTTGTGTAGGAACCCGAGGTTGATAAGTTGTAACTATCCCAATATTTGCAACCAGACCAAATTAATGGAAAGGAAATGTACATACGTCTGTGAGAGGATCAATTATTAATTTCTACTATAGGAATTCATGACTAGTCAGATGGTATATCCATGCTACCTTCATATCTGGGTTTATGAAAGTACATGTGAGTGTACGACAGAGACAAGAGCAATAAATAGAAAACTGCAACATTTACAGAAACCATAAAAAGCTAAAATGGTACTCCACAAAAGGACAATTCTCATAATGCAGAAATACTATAAAGTAGCACACAGTAAAATTCATAAACCTGAGCTTAGTCTCTCAAAATCATCACAGCAAGATCAAATAAGTAGTCGTATCATGTTTAACCCATGGGATGCCAACAAGGAACATATATGTATCTCCAACCAACATGCAAAATTAGTATAATTCTTAATGCTGTTAAAGTTCCCTTTCGTATTCAGAATCTCTTGAAATTCTTTTTTGTGTACAGTATCCAGATTTATTACCATGTACATTTCTAGATAAATTGGTTTTAGGAAAATAATTTAAAAATTGGCCTGCATTATCAAATGGTCTTGGGCTTATTTTTGTTGGCAGTTAATAGGTTAAAAGCCTACTTGTCAATGTAATACCTTTCTATATGGGTTTCATGTCTTTCAAGACAATTTAAATACTCATGAAAAAATAATTTATCAAGAAGAGCATTTCTTCGTAATAATAATCTAGCAAGCCTAAGGCAAAACAAAATTGCAGCACAATAGCCATTCTTAAAAATGTATTTCATTTTCTTATCTTTACTGTAAAAAATGTCTTGTACTAGAATAAATAATTCATCAAAAAACAGGTAAGTCAACAAACATCTATGAACATTTACCCATGTATCTTTTATAACTTCAGTGTAAAAAATATTATGATACATCAGTTAGTCAGTTAGCAAGATTGAATTATATATACCCACAGAAAGACTATTTACAAACCTATACCAATCATATTTTGCCGAAATCCTTTACAAATAATCTAAAAATCCACACATCAATCACAGTTCATCATGCATCATACATATTTGGCTCAAGTCACAGGTCTGGTAGTTTTCATGCAGCCATGGCTGCAATTCTTTCCATTGGCAAGCTACACCTGTACATAATTCAGGGAGAGGTGTAGGCTGACCTTCAAAAAACGTGGCTACTTTAAACTCTACCCCACATCTGTTCAAAGATACAATAAATATTTTTAACATTTTTATAGATACTAAAAATCATAAATTGTATATTTCTGTATTTCAAATATTTTCTTACATGAAAAAATAATTGGAAACTTACTGGTAAAGTACAAATACAATATTTGCACTGAATGGAGATACAAAGCTTGAACGCCACACACGGTCTCTCATCTCAGCAAAGTTATCATGTCTCAAGTGTTCCGAAGGACGAAACAGGCCAATACGAGCCAGAACCTGTACAGGAAATCCTCAGAAGTGCATAAAATTCATAAAGCTAATCACACTACATTTTTGTGTCAATTTATAACCACAATATCATATGATTTCATGAAAACTACTGTGTATAAGGGAATGAACCTTGAGAATGGTCTTGTCATGAGCAAAGTAAAATATCCCTTGTGGTTTAGCTTCTTCTTGAGATATTGTAGTTCTGTAAGAAAAAATACATACAATCAAGATAAATTGGTTTAAGGAAAAGTGAAGCTCATGTGCCTTGCAACACATCTATTGAAGTGAAAGACTATTACTTTTACTTTCCATATTCTGCAAAGTAAGACCCTATGACCCTATGTTGCAAGCCTATTATTACCATTTGTCATTCAGCAAATGCTTATTGATAGACAAGGAGTACATATGATTATATGTAAAATATGCTATGAGGTAGTAACTAAATGTTTTGCAGTGGTTAGAGGTAAAATCCTATTTTAGTTTATAGCTGGAGTTTTGCAAGGAAATACCTTATGCTTTCCCTAGAGTAATTAACAAATAGTAAAAAAAAGAGAAAAACACTATTAAAACTTACTGAATTAATACTGAAAGTAACATTTTATGTATAAAATTAAATCTTAAATGGAATCTCATTCATTACAAATAGAATTTATTTCAAGATCACACTGCAGTCACTATACATCCCACTAGGACATATAAGTACTAAGAATTACTATAAAAACAGTAAATGAACATGCGAACTAATACAAAGAAAAAGATCTATCAAAGATCTATCAAAGTTTGAAAGATTAATTCAAGAATATAAAAGAAACAAAACATTTATATCAAGATTACAATTATCCACTTTACCTGAAATGTGAATACAAATCATTATAAGTCCTGCACGCTGTTTCAGAGTTAAGAGGAGTGCCGTAACTTTCCTCATAATAATACTTCAAGTCCTGGTGGTACTCCATCACCTTTGAACATAGGGTAAATAAATAAATATTAAAACCACCATTCTAAATTTTCAAGTCCTATATTTCATGGAAAACAGGGAAGGGGAGGGAGGGAGAGGGAGGGAGGGGAGGGAGAGGAGGGAGGGGAGGGAGAGGAGGGAGGGGAGGGAGAGGAGGGAGGGGAGGAGAGAGGGAGAAGGGGAGGAAGGGGAGGGAGGGGAGGGAGGGGAGGGAGGGAGAGAAGGAGAGAGAGAGAGAGAGAGAGAGAGAGAGAGAGAGAGAGAGAGAGAGAGAGAGAGAGAGAGAGAGAGAGAGAGAGAGAGAGAGAGAGAGAGAAGAAAGAAAGAAAGAAAGAAAGAAAGAAGAGAGAGAGAGAGAGAGAGAGAGAGAGAGAGAGAGAGAGAGAGAGAGAGAGAGAGAGAGAGAGAGAGAGAGAAAGAGAAAGAGAAAGAGAAAGAGAAAGAGAAAGAGAAAGAGAAAGAGAAAGAGAGAGAGAGAGAATGTGAGGGAAAAAGAATCCATTACAAAACAATTTTGTGCTGCTACTAACCTCAAAGTCATAGCTTGTGAAAGGCACACACCAAGCACTCTTTTGTTTGGGCCACCAAGCCATCTCATATCTGCACTCATCATATATGGCCTCAAGTTCCCCTGTGTGGACAGAAAAAGTAATCAAGGCCATAGAATGTCAAAGTGAGATTTATTAATAAACTGCATACATTCACATCCTATAAATTAGCCTCTTCTGCAGTGGGGTTCAATGAAGAATATTTAAATGTACATTTTTTTCTTTCTTTAATCATAAGTAGCTTACTTTTAGTAATTTCCATTTCTCCTCCAACTCAGCATTTGCAATTGCATTCTCTACCTCAAAAGAATGCAAATTTTTGGTGCATGACACCTTCCAGACAAATGATTTACGTATTAAATATTGCCCCTTTTATACAAAACAAAGGTATTATCCATCCCATTCCCCCTTGGGCAATTCCCAGGGCTTGTGACACGTGTTCTAAAGAACAGAATCAAAAGTAATGCATGCATCATCGTAACAAAGTGAGTGACCAATCCTCTAAAGATGCAACCAAGTAAATCATGATGGCACTACCAACCATTCAGAGCCATAGCCAAGTCAGCCATGATGTGATCTACAGGTCATCCGGAGCTACAAGCAAGTCACACATGATGTGAACTATACATCATCTGGAGGTAGCAGGTTAATCACCCTTCAACCTCTTGCAGCTACATAAACAATTACCAT